TACAGAATTAAATTCCGCATGTAGGAAAATTATTCTGAACTTCTTATGACACCGCGTTTGCATGCTATAACAAAAAAACTACTATTCCTAGCGCAACGAGTTCTACGGCGCATACACACAACTTTTAATATAACTCGCGTTACGGAATTTTGTCGTAATAAATTCAAATACATGGTGATACAGAATTAAATTCCGCATCTGGCAAAATTATTCTGAACTTATTATGACACCGCGTTTGCACGCTATAACAAAATAACTACAATTCCTAGCGCAACGAGTACAACGGTGCACCCACACAACTTTCAATATAACTCGTGTTACGGAATCTTCTCGCAAAAAAATTCTATAAAAGTAGATACAGAATAAAATTCTGTATCAAGGAAATTCTGTATCGGACCGCCAGGCACAACAAGTGCTGTAAGTAAACGAAAACATAAATTAAAACAAAGATATTTCATACAATTAATTATGTTATAATTAACAATCACAAAATAACACAAAATAAACTATCTGTGATGTTTAGTTAAAAAATACTTACACGAGCCTGATGGATCTTTCTTAATGATGAGAATCAACATGGGGGCGACATATATCCGATTAATTTAGTAACCGACACCAAACACGCCGAGTGAAGAATGTTATCAAATTCACTATCACGAGACTTACTATAGTCGCAAAGTACAAATAAATTGCCGATTGTTCTTCGAGTACACAAATTTAGAATATTGAAGTCCGAATAAACGATATAAGTCTCTCAAAACACGACTGGATTAACCAGCGACCGGCACGAAACTGCCTGCAATCCACCGATAGTGCATGCCAAAACTGCGTAAACAACGACGGGACAGTAAATGATAAGAAAGCAAGAGGTGCGCAAAGACGGCGCGTCGAAGGCACGCGACCATATGCGCGAGTTTGCAATAGGCACATTACCCGTGATCTAAACTAAACTAGACTGCGCTGCATGCAGCAAGTTGATGGGGCGCTAGGAGACAGCGCGCGGGACACATGCGCTAAAAACGTTGATTACACCTAATCGCAGATAACAGCATTGTATACAAAACTATTCTCGTGCCCACGTTTGTCGATAAATATAAAAATAAGCCATCTACGAATGCGACAGACACTAGTCCCACTCTTTAGATTATTATAATTAATAATTAATGTTTCCACGTGTTTCCACTTCTGTATCGCAACGTCTTAATCTACAGATTATTCTCGATAAGATAGGATAGTTAAAACGGAAATCTGATAGATGAAATTTTGCTTGATAATTTTTATCGACGATTTTCGATAATTAATATCTCTTAAACTAAAAGAGATAGCAACCAACGAATTGCTGATTATAGAAGACTGGAAAATTCTGTACCAGATAAAAATTTAAAATATATATATTTCCTACAGTAAAGGGTCGAAAAAGGCGACTAAAAGTGCTAAAAAGTGACATTTTTTAATTTTTGCCCATTTCATTCAATCGCGAATATCTCGTAAACTAACAGAGATAAATAGGTACAACTCGCAGAGAATATTCTACGGACTAATATCTATAACATACAGTAGTTAAAGCGGAAATCTGAAAAATAAAATTTTTTTACTTAAGAAAAATTGCCAAGGGGGGGTGCTTGATACTTTTTTTCGACGATTTTTGAAAATTCATATCTCTTAAACTAAAAGCCAGAGCAACCAACGAATCGCTGATTATAGAAGACTGGAAAATTCTGTACCAGATAAAAATTTAAAATATATATATTTCCTACAGTAAAGGGTCGAAAAAGGCGACTAAAAGTGCTAAAAAGTGACATTTTTTAATTTTTGCCCATTTCATTCAAGCGCGAATATCTCGTAAACTAACAGAGATAAATAGGTACAACTCACAGAGAATATTCTACGGACTAATATCTATAACATACAGTAGTTAAAGCGGAAATCTGAAAAATAAAATTTTTTTACTTAAGAAAAAATTGCCAAGGGGGGGTGCTTGATACTTTTTTTCGACGATTTTTGAAAATTCATATCTCTTAAACTAAAAGCCAGAGCAACCAACGAATCGCTGATTATAGAAGACTGGAAAATTCTGTACCAGATAAAAATTTAAAATATATATATTTCCTACAGTAAAGGGTCGAAAAAGGCGACTAAAAGTGCTAAAAAGTGACATTTTTTAATTTTTGCCCATTTCATTCAAGCGCGAATATCTCGTAAACTAACAGAGATAAATAGGTACAACTCACAGAGAATATTCTACGGACTAATATCTATAACATACAGTAGTTAAAGCGGAAATCTGAAAAATAAAATTTTTTTACTTAAGAAAAAATTGCCAAGGGGGTGCTTGATACTTTTTTTCGACGATTTTTGATAATTAATATCTCTTAAACTAAACGAGATAGCAACCAACTGCTGACTGTGAAAGATTGGAAAATTCTCTACCAGATAAAAGTATAAGATAATTATGACCGTGCCGGTCATTTAATTTGTGTCCCAGGTAGGTAGTATGTGATAAATAGAAAACTTGTTTATAAACAGCAAATGTTAATTTCACCGAAGAATATAATTGAATTATAAACTTACCAGAGTACAGCTTATCGGACTGCCAGGCACAACGAGTGCTGTAACTAGAGGAAAACATAAATTGAAACAACAATATTTCATACAATTGAATTATGTTTAATTAACAATCAACGCAAAATAAACAATCTGTGCTGTTTAGTTAAAAAATACTTACACGAGCCCGATGGACCTTTCTTAATGATGAGAATCAAAATGGGGCCGATATATATCCGATTAATTTAGTAACCGACACCAAATACAACGCCGAGTGAAGAATGTTATCAAATCCACATCAAGGGACTTGTAATATACTCGTACATAACAAACGCGATTAAAAACCGGCATTTCAGAACATTAAACAAATTACTATAGTCGCAAAGTACAAAGTCGATTGATATTCGAATATAACACAAATTTAGAATATTGAAGTCCGAATAAACGATATAAGTCTCTCAAAACACGACTGGATTAACCAGCGACCGGCACGAAAATGGCGGCAATCCACCGATAGTGCATGCCGAAACTGCATAAACAACGACGGGACAGTATATGATAAGAAAGCAAGAGGTGCGCAAAGAAGACGCGCGTCGAAGGCACGCGACCTTGTGTGCTGTATACTTGTATGTGCTGTTCAGCGCGATCACAAATCGGCAGGACAATAAACACGCAAATAGTAAATAACATTACTATAGTGAGTCGCCTAAAATTAAATGAAAAATTAAAATTCTATATCCGTAATTATGATTTCTTATGCTGACAGAGTGCTAGATTTTACATCAAATATTTAAGTGATATCTGCTTAAGTGATCTGCTGATGATAAAAATGTTTTGCTGATGATGATTTTAATAATAAACTATTCCTCCTAATGTAAAAGTGTTAGTTATATTCATGATTTAAGAATTGAAGAATACTTGCTTAAATTCACGATGCCAATATAAACTGCAAGATGTGATTTTGTTCCAAGAAATAAAGATTCGATATCTGCAGGTAAACAAACTTATCGCTTGCGCGAAATCGCGTGATCCACACGGACACGGTGTGCACTCACTACCGCCGACAAGCAATATTTAACGCGAAAACGTGCATCGTAGTGCCATCTAACCGACTATCTAGTAACGGCAGGTTTAAATTCAAAACACATTTTATCAAATATGCAACAAAGTTGATATTGCATGAAAATACCAATCATAAGCAATTTAATAATGCCTATCAAATCGCAATACTGCTTTAATTTATACTCTACGATACAATATAATAATATTATATTCACACATCGGAGAAAAACAAACATTCTGTGCGGAGTATCGAAATGGTGAGATAAAAGATACATACTCAAGCCCAAAGACAGACAACCGACAACGACCGACAACGTCACCCAAAACCGACAATAAAACCGCAGCATTCTTGTAATTTCACATATACGAATAAACATCCTAAGCGAGCAAAAAAATAACATAGTAAAATTGGAAATCTAGGAAATGAAATTTTAATTCATAAGAAAAAAATGGGCATGGGAATATCTCCCAAATTAAATGATATAACTACCAGAAAATTGTAGATTAAGGATTAAGAATTATTATTGCATTTTTTTCAATTTTTGAAAATTTATTTTAATTGCGAATATCTCGTATTCGAATTTTGCAATTACTACTCGAAAATTCGCAAAAATCGATAAAGTTTGAGAATGATTTTAGGGCACTTGTAGCAATATTTTCGGGGGTGGCGCATCTTATAAAATACCTCTCGCGCTATATAAATTTGAAAGAATCATTGAAAACGCAAGAACGGTTCCCGAGATAAAGCCGAATTTCATAATAAACAGAAAAATTCATAAAATTAATAATAAATGAATAATACTCAAATTGTATCATATTTCACTTTATTTAGAGGAAAGAAAGTAAAACATGGAATTTAAACACAATGTTTAAACACATATTCACATGTCTAAACCATGTAATCTGCAACACACCGACGGCAAGATCTGAACGCTATAAAAACTTGTTTACACGCTGACATTGATAAACGCGTTGAGGCAAAACCATAACAATTCAAATTCATGTACTGACTAATTTCACAATGTTGAAATCTTCGCGAATGCGTACATACAAAGCACCATAAATGCCAATTACGAGACCGTTATATGGACACAATTAATCATGAGAAATAAATAATAATTATTAAATTCTACACCTACCTGTGGAACGATGGCAAACTACAACAGATGTCCCTCGCAGTTAGAATTCAATTTTCCAGAGATGTCACGCAACGCACTTCGAATTTACAACACATATGATACACCGATAAGTCCGTAAAGATGAAATTAATTTCTTAATAGGTCTTTTCTTGCAAACGCGGCTCGCACGAGGAACGCGCGCGACACACCGACGCGATTAAAGAAACTGCTGACGCCTATAGCTAACACTGCAGTTATGCACTGAAATGCCACTAGCGCCATGAGTCTTCAGCTAATGCGGTTAGCCGTAGAACTAAACCTCAAAACAAACTCTGTAAACAGAAATTTTGCCGTGATTGTAGGTACTAGCTACGTAATTCTTATTTAATACTCAATCACACTAATCATCATGTCTTACTATATAATAATTCGAGAATCTAGACCATCTGATTTGCCTAAAATTGCTGAAGTGATCAGAAATGCATATTTATCAAATGTTGTTCCATCATTTCTAAATGCATTAACAAGAGAGGTAAACAAACCCCAAATATATATATTTATATGAATATTGTCTCACAATCATTCTCTTTTAGTTTACATTGCAGTTAATTGTTACATGTGCTGCAATTTTATTTATATTTATGGGAGTTCCGCTGAAATTTTGTTTTATTGCAATACCCTTGTGTTGCTAGGAGTACTTTTCATTATTTACTCAGCATTTTATATTAAATCTGCTGAGTTAATCAATAAAAGGCCTCTGCAATGTTGGGTTGCAGAAGCATGCCAACCATTTTTTACAGAGGAACAATCTCCTAAAGCACAATACAAAATAATACATGAGAATCATCCTGAGTTAGAAGTGATCGATCTTGGAAATTTATCAAGGAGGGTTGGTATAATTATTCATTCCTATTGTATAAAGTCTACTAAATACTTGTTTTAGATTGTTGGAACAATAGCAGTCTCTAATTATAACTTACTTGATGATTCAGCTTGGTTATTTCGATTAGCAGTTGATAAACAGTAAGTTTTAGGGTTATTTTATGAAAGCATAATAGGATTGTGCTTGTTTGCTTTGATATAGAGTCCGACATAAGGGAATTGGGCATTCACTAGTTGAAGTTGCAAAAACATGGTGCAAGCAGAAGAATTATCAAAGGATTTTGCTGGCAATTTCTGAATGTCAGGAAAATACTCGACAAATGTTTGTGACTACTGGGTGAGAAGTGCTAAATTCACTACTTGATTTCACATTTTACCAATACATATAACTTGTTTCAGATTTAATATGAAACAAATGTATCACAAGCAATTGATTGGGCAAGTTTTTACCCTCTTGATGTATCAACTAGAATGTGATCTGAACAGATATGAGCATGATTTGTAATTTTATCTAAAATTCTAGCGACCCATGATATAAGGTGCAATGAAACATAACCATCTACGATTTTCAATTAAATACCATACAATTAATTCTTTGTTAATTATCCGCATCGAGTTTCCCCAGAATGAAACATCAAACACTCCTTTTTCAGACACGTATTTATTATAATACTTTGAATTGGTTCAGTTATATTTACAAAGACAAAGCTTGTTATATTACAATTGTTTTAGGTCTTTTTACGATTTCGCATTCATTCTGTATTTATTCATTCTTGTACGTCAGGACCAAACAGACTTCCAAGCGTCGACGTATAGTCGGCGCGTTCACATCATTTCCATTATTGGTATAGTACATAACATCTTTTGTTTGCTTTATAAAATATGTCGCGTTATTGCACAGCAATAAAGCCCTTACATTTATACAATATTATTATCCCCATATTTACAATCAACGTTATTACTTTATCATTAATTTATTGTTTTTACATGCAAATATAAGTAATAATTCATTTATATCAATTTCTGTCTTAATGCATTTCCAAAGAAACAAACATACGCATTGCCGTTCAAAGAGTACTGACCTAGTTAGATTTTCAACAAACAATAAATTTCCATTATGCGACATGTTTACAATCAAATGATTATACTCTGTTTTTGTTTTTATTTAGAAAAGTATCGAAAATCTATCTAGCACAACTTCGCACATTTCCTAGGTAAATTTTGTGTCGTTTTTGTTCGCATAATTGGCTTACAATTAGATTAGGTATTTTTGCATTTTGATTCGAAACGGAATAATAGCTTTGTTAGTTCGCAATTTCTATATGTACCATAGGTAATTAGACCGGAATAAATTTGTATTGTAAGACACATTCGTCGTTCCATTATTCGTATAATAAATCAACGGCAGAACTAAATATTTATACATAGGCCTATTCGATAAGATAACGTACTCAATAATAATTCATCTATAGGTTACACTTAACATTTCGTTGAGTTTCAATTTTCACCTGAATTGAATCCAATTCAATTCACAATTTAGTCGTTTTGTAATGGTTTACTTGTCAGCACAACAAAGCGCATGGAATAGTCAAACCAAAGGAAACCAATTTCATCTAAGTAACAAATTGTCATAATAACAACTCTTACTGATTAAGCTCGTGTCCTTGATTGTATTATTCGTTTGCTTAATAACTGTGAGCTTATTTTACTTCTCTCTTCACTAGTTTTAGTCAATGTTCATTCCGTTACATCACTTGGCATCTACACTCCTGTATCACAGGCCATTAGGTTAAAAACAAGTCGAGACTAAGTGGAATTTTATTGTGAATGGTTTGCTCGTAGTCTGTTCCAAGTCTGGAGATTTGCGGAAGAAGAGCATCAAGATCGAGGAGCATTACACGCAGCTTTCAGGGCCGGGTATCGAATCTGCTATGATGTGATCTCGACGCATCGTAGCGAACGAATTGAAGGGCACATCGCGGGGCGGTCGTGGTCGTGATCGACCCAACGTTGTCGCCATTGAATTCATCGTCTGTGGAGCGCACACTTCCGGTGAGGCGTGCATATCTGAATGACCCTGGATAGAAAATATCTTCAATTTTAATTTCATTACGTTTATGTTGGTGTTTTGTAGACTTACAAAATTAGCAAATGCTGGACTATGCCTGGCATGGTCCCCGGGAGGAGTGAAGAGTGCATCGGGTCGTGGTAGAGGTCCTCCTGCATTGGGAGGAGTTGTTGTATCTGCACCTGTGTAAATAACTGTTATTAGAACCAGGCAGACAAATTTATAAATATTAAAGACACGTACTTCTTGGTGTATTCAAAATATCAGGCTGGTGATCAACTGATGTGATCTGCGCCTGTCCCATGCAGTCCGCCACGGGTTTGAGCGTGTACGCCACCACATAGCGATGGTCCCCGGTGTTGATCTCCAGCATGGAACCTGGCCGCGACGTTTGTGGTGTTATCTTCGGCTGCTTGGACGGGTCGAGTTGATGATTGCAGTGGTTGCCGGCGCAATGGCGATGACGGCGGCGTACCGCCAGGACAATGACGAGCAAGACCGCAATGCCAATCGTCAACAAAGAGCCGGTCAACAGGGCTGCAATTGGCAGTATACTTATGTTTGATGAACCATCTGAAACACAAACGCCCACACGAAAATATGAAACTTTGCACACAGTTTTGTCTTATATTTCAGTATTGATTTTTTTCTACATTGCAGCGTAGATTTCTCCAAGTACGAGTAATATAAGTTGAGTTGTGTGTTAGCAAGCATGCAATCGGCGCATTTATAACAAATATAGTTTAAGTGGGTAAGTGCGCTACGGAGAAAAAGTAAAACAAAGTTTAACTAACGATGATTTGCTTTCTTGCGTTGTTTCAAGTTGAATTGAGTTCAGTTTAGTTTTGAGTTTGAATGTTTCACGTGCACAAAATTAATTTCATATACTATACAGTGTGTTCAATTGAAGTAGTGAATGGCAGTACGTGCACGAAACACAATACCGGCAACGAGTTGATATTCAGCAAGCGCTCTGAAAGTAATTTCCAATGCGTATTCAAATTGCATTAATAGGGTGTTTGTGTTTAGCTGCCGCGCGGTGGCGACGTTTCGAGAATAATCAAACGTGCGGCGCGCCCGTGACGAAATCCACCAGCTTAGAATCAAGTTCTGTCTTGGGTTGTCTTAAATTGTAATTGGGATGGGTTTAGCGTACCTGTGCGTTTCTCAGCGTCGTTGAGCGTGATGTCGTCCAACATGATCTTCTCGCTGCGCCCTTTGGCGTTCTGCGCGTACACGACGATGCGCAACGTGGGCGGCAAGCCGTCCCCGACGAGCAGCTCGCTCAGCTCCAGCCGGAAGACAGGATAGTCACCGCCGCCGGTATTGCCGTTCGCGGTAAGGTTGAGACGCATTCGCATCGTGTACGGGTCGTAGGCCTCTAGCACGAAGCGTTGTGGCAGGCCGCCATCGTAGCCGGCGCGGCACTCCACCTCCAACGCATCGCCGCCGCTGTGATTAGTCGCCGCGCGAAGCGTGCAGTTGCTCAGCGGACTCGGCTTTGCTGCGAACACGAAACGAAGACACATTTAGTTTCGGTGACCTGGGTTTAATATTTAAAGGGCACGCTTTCTCCCGCCCCAGTAACCCCAATGGCACAAGCTATCAGATTTATTTGTCTCGAACTCCGAGGGACCTTTTGACGTGGCTTCTTCACATTCAACATTCGGGTTTGAATGCGTGCAAGCACAGCTAGCAACTTTAGCAACTCCCCAACCGTCTACCACTTTACCCACATCGCGAAAGTTGGACTAGCCGCTTCATAGCGCTCCGAACACGCACAAAAGGTCCATCATTGACTAGAGCTAAACTAGAATTTGCGTCAAGTTCCCAACCCACAAAGTCACCGTTTACACATCCGAATCACTCATAAACCTTCTACTTCATTCTAATCTGAATGCAGCGCCTGGTAGTTCAACAGTTGGAGTATACTCACAAGCGGGAACAACTTGGAACACACAAGGCTCGCTTTGTCTGCCGATTGAATTTCGCCCCCAGCATGTCAACGTGCCGTAGTCACGCTGCGATGCAGGCGTGTACATCAACTCGCTGATGTTACCACTTGTTGTGGCGAATCTGGCCGGCGAAACATCGAAACTCTCGCCGCTGTTGTTGAACTGCCATACAAACGTCACATCGCTGGGATCAGCCGCCACATGGCAACGCACCTTGAGGCTTTCGTCCAGTGATGCCCCGATGATGATCATCTCGTTGTCCCGACACACGGGCGCAACTGTAACAAGCGGTTTAGTTAGCGTCGCAAAACAACTCGAAATTCTAGAGAAAACGGATCACAAAGGTTTTCCACGGGTGCAAACCCAACAAAAAACACACGAGAGAAAATCCTAAAACCCGCAAATCCGGAAAAAATAGACCTAAACAGGTAAAAATTCGACTGGCCTAAGGTCGAAACGCGGGTTTAGTGCTCTTACAAGAGCGGTAACAAGCGGGCGCCTAGTCTGCCCGACGTCAAGGATAAAAAGGCGACTATATTGGACATCGGGACGACGCGGTCGGAATAAGCAATCTGTATAGATGAGCGGATTCGACCTGCGAGCATCAGGGAGCACACGGTGCGCGTAGCTTAGCGGGTTGTAATCCCGGTCGGTTGGCCGCCCGCCGGTCGGAGGTGGTCGACGGATTGACATGCGAATCCCAAGGGAGCAGATGGTTGAGAATGCGCGCGAGCGAGAACACCAACACATCATAAATTCACACCGAATAACCGCACAATCAACTGCATTTTAGTAAAGTCAAAAATCAGTAAGAAGCGAAAAAAAACGGTGTGTGTGTATTTGAAGAGTAGGTCAATAGCTTTCGTAGGGCGGTGGCCAAATAACATGAGTAAAAAAATAGTAAATCTAGGGCGGTTCATAAAACATCATAAAACTCATAAAAATATGAAACGTGCCGAAAAATATTACCCTAAACCGCTCAAACAAGCCAATGCCCTAAGAAAACTCCTGAAAAAATAGCAGAAAGTAGTTTTTGAGTATGCAATTTGGTAGCCCATGAGGGTGACACGTGTCAGGAATTGGACCATCTGAAAGTCACAGTTATAACAAATCAGGTCAACGTTTTTAGTTATTTAAAACTGAAAAACGTTTAATTTTACTCGGAAAACAAATTTTCGGTTGCTCAGCGCTCTTCAACATGGATGATGTAATTTCAGCATCAATTACATTTCGTTATTGAAAGTGAGGTTATACTCCGCTTTGTTTTGGGCTACTTCAATGTTCAACGAGCACTTGAATCGATAATAACTTGAGTTTATTGCATGTCGTGTACACAACTGCAGTGTGTTCGGTTTCGAGCGCGAACTTGTTGACTGCGCGACGAGTACGCGCACTCGTGTTCACAATGCCCACCCTGTTGAACATAATAATTAATTAGAAGAGTCCCTCCGTATCATATTAAGCGCGCGCGGCGAAATAAACGCGCGAGTGACAAACGTGCGCGCCTGGGCCGAGGAAAAGCGCACGACATAAAGTTAAACTTTGACTGCATTGTATCTCTGAGCATTTCCGTGTAGATAACGCTGACATGGCCGCTCGACACGAAGATCCTTCGTGTCGAACGCAATCGCGCATCCGAGTGACAAACGGTCATCAAAGTCATCAAACGAACGATACAAACGCGCAAAACAAACAAAAACTAGACAAGTGGACACACTAAACATATCAAACACTCGCCTCTCTCCCAGCGGGATAAATTGTTTGCCTGGCACGAGTATTTTCAGTTCGTCGTTAAACACAAAGAAAAATTAATCAATGAGCTATTTCATTTGTTGACTCGTTGTACGTGGTGACCGCGAGGGATTCACTTGATGAGCTTGTGCTTGTTTTGACAAAAAGTTTGCCTTTCAAACAAAAATATAATGAATTATGAATCAGGATGCCGCAAAAGTTCCCAGCGTAATATGACAAATTGCTTCCACACGTGGCGGAAATCTTTTCGGACCTGCAAGCCGAGATGAAAACGGAGGACGAGGAATTGAAATCAAGTCGAGTTGAAGACTGACGACCGCGTTCGCTGTGATTACGCTCAATCATCGGAATTGCTTTCGACCGGATTGCCAAATTCGTCCTTAAAGACATCTCAACGTCATTCGCAATCATCCGGAATATTTCACATTTTTCATCATCCACCGAAAAACAATTGGAATTGTTTATAAAACGTAAATTTCAAGCAATAACACGATTTTATAGCTGTATTAGAATTGGAATTTAGTTGTCGATGAGTTAAATTCGAACGAGTTTCAGGTAGGAAGCGCTTTTGTGAAACACGCCATGAAAATGTCAATTAAATTGCGCATCAGTGGCGAATCCAATTTTATTAAAAAGCGAGTTTCGACGCGACGCGCCACGCGCGTAATAGGCGTCCTGGCACCGTCACATTCGCACACGCGAAAGGTACACGTGTAATGGCACCTCCGGGTGGTTCCCGCCGCGGTTATCACACATCCATCATGTGTTCGCCCGGCGCCTCCACACCGTTGCCAGCAACGATGCCGACGATGCCAAATATAGAAATCGAATAATGTTACATTAGGTGTGTTTCTCGCATTTCTCATATTTCATAAATTTTGCAAATTTCTCATAACACATTCTACACTGGGTTAAATCAAAGTTGGATATAATTTCATCAAAACAATTCAAAAAAATCTAAAAAATATCGAAAAATTTAAAATTTATAATTCAACTATCAAAATTTATAATTTTTTAAAAGAAATTTTATAGATTTGTTTATTTTTGTTACGATATGACCAAATTTCGATGTTTTTCTGGTATTGGCATGCAATATAAAGATAGGAACGCGCATAAAAATGGCGTTTGCGTCGTTTGGCGTGCGTCGGCGTGTATTACCGTAATAGATATCTAACGCCGCTCGCTTACCCTCCACGGCAATCATATAACGCAAATGTGCATAATATCAGGAGTGCATTCCGCATGTGTAGCGCCCACCCACGTCGGCGCTTCTTTAATGGCACGCAAGCACGAACGCTGGCACCGCTACAACCATCAAAACCCATCAGAAACCATCGCAACATCACCGACACCGGGGGCCGGCGTATATCAAGTGCGGTAAATTACAGTCAAACACAGGAACGACACCTGCTTTCCGATACACAAAAATGTAATAAAGTACCATGTGGATAACATTTTTTGCGACCCGGATGCGCTCTGACATCAGGATCAGATTAGTCGTTAGTGAAAAATATGGCGAATGCACTCAAACTGTTATGTTGGCACGCACTTTTTAATCTCCGCGCGCGGGTGTAATAAAAATATGGAAAATGCAGGTGTATCGCGTTAGGCATCCTAAAGTGCAGCTCGTGCGGGCGGCTTTTGATGATGATAGGGTATTACTGCATTAACGGAGGGATTTTTAGCGGGCCGTGCAGTAAAGTGCAACGCACGCAACTAAATTGGAACGTGACTCGTGTGTATTGCCGATTGGGAATGGCTTTTGCGCACGGCATGTCAGAGAACTAAATATGGTCATCAAAGATTTAGATTTATGTCTTTATTTGACATCTTAAGTGCGAAACAAATTGCAGTTAATGTCACTTTGGACCTTTTTGTTGTGGTGAATTTTTATGCATTTTAAAATATAGTTTAATGTAGGAGAAGAAATGTAAGAATGGAAAAAAATGTTTACTGCAGACATAAAGTGGATTATCGTGACAAACCCCTGGAGGCGGCTAGCGTTAAGCGCGCGTGTATATCAAGAGGAAATCCACGCGATATATTTATGCCGCACGGAATAACTGCATCGGCCATCTTGGCATCTCGAAGGCGCGCACACAATATAAAACGTAAAGAGTAAATAAACCCATTCAAAAGGACGCACATTCTTATTCATATTTCTCTCTTTACCGCGCCGCCCACCAGTCTAAAGTAGAAAGTCCTGACCGAGCCACGAATATGTTTATGTAAATGCGTTTTATTTATCAACTCTGTGGGCGTAGACTGCGCGCTATGCAGTACAGTTATATACCAAGTCGCAGTTTTCGGCGTGTGCAACTCTCGCCTGATTTTTCGCCAATAAAATTATTCATAAATTTTTTCCGCGCTGCACTTGCCGCCGTAAACCACCGGAAGTACACTCAAGAGGAACGTAAGCAACTCCTAGCAGAGTAAAAGTTTTAGCAGGACGTTATATTCGATAATAAATTCGCGATAAAAATGGCGAAACACGAAAACCGTGCAGTGGCTTCGACGAGAAATACTCTTATAGCGAGGCAAACAACAAGCGCAAAAAAGGAATGAATGACTAAACTGCGCCAATGCGGAGAGAAGACCGATCCAGCTAGAAGAACAAAAAATACAACGCGGTACATCGAGTTAAGCGGATTATGGGAAGTTGCTTCGCGAACGGGACAATAATTCGTATCGAAGTAGGTCTTAATTTTTACGACTACGAGATACGCTCTTGGAAAAGAAATCCGCAGAATGCAGGTAAACTGCGAGGAAATGAAAATTCATACCAAAAGGTCTTTTCTTATGATAGTTACGGATTATGTTTGATGCGCTTAATAAGAGTCTGAATGGCGGATTTTTTTTTTCTAAAGCTCTTACAAAATAAGAGGAAAACTCGTCGTTGTTGGTGTTTTGTTACACTCCGCGGTGAGTTTGTAAATCGGGCGAGATTCGCTTTGTCTAACTAAGTTGTATTATTTATGTGTCTACGCAAACAAACAAACAAACAAGCCGGAAACCCGCCAACGTGTTTGATTGTCTCAAGAAGTTGGATTAAAATCAGCAAAGCGAAAGTTTCACCAAACGCATAAATAAAGAATTAATTGATTTCTGTAGGAATTTACTTTATTGCCTCGTTTATCATGTTCTTTTTCTTTATTCCCCGCTTTCTTGATTAGTTACATGTCCGCTTTTTTATCCTAACGCAAAAATTTAAGGTAGAAAATCGAAAAGCGATTTTTCCACGAATAAGATCGAAAAGAACAGCGTTAAATCGGTTTCGTCTAGCGTGCGCCCCCCTGCTGCAAATCCCGTTCGTTAGATATGCAAATAAGACGCGCACAACAATTTCCTCCACGCTCCACACGCGCATAGACATATATTACATGCGGAAAACCTTCAACCTTAATCCGCGCGCCCAAGTTTCGCATCCCTCGCATCCCACTTTGCCGAGAAACGAAGACAAAGATGAAGACCTTCAAATGTTCCGCGGCGGCTGCTGGGAGGAGGAGTGAGCGTAGCCATTGTTCAGTAAACGATTGCCGAGTAACCTTTGTCACTGCATTAGGAAGGACGACAAAGACGACAAGGAAGATGAAGACAACGAATTGGACGTTCCTATTCACATACCAAATTGCTTTGAATCGGTTTGAATCGCTGAATATTATTCAATATCACACTACACACATTCACGCGTGTTATGTGTGTTGCCTACATTACTGACAGAAAACATCTAGCGTACCGTTTTACTACGTTATAGGTTATGTTTTTAGGTTATACTTATTATTTTGGTTGTTTCACTTAATTTCGCAATCTCCACCGCAGTTGACGGTGTGCGTTGAGATGAAGATGAAAGGAAACAACAACGGCGGTGTCCCGTAACACACGTCGCGCGACAGGAGCTTTCATCTTCATCGCGTTGCTGTTCCCGGCGCGCCGCCACCGCCGACCAAGATTTCCTTTGTTATATTGTCCCTCAATTTACGTTCGCGCGCGACGGGGCTCGTTTAATATCGTCGGCGGCGCGCTCGTGATGGATGGATGCAGTAATTACTAAAACTTTCCGCAAGAATCTCTCTCGCGGTGCGTGTACCTATGTAATATTCTTCCGCGTCTTCCGCACGCAAAAGAATTGAAATCAAAATTCCGCAAACTCGAAATTAAATTTATCAATTGATTGAAATCGCATAAATCATATTCGAGAATTTGAGCAATTTTTGTTTGGAAATGAAAAGTTTAGGAGTATTTTAAACATTTGTTGATGTATGAAGTATTGCAAACTTCGATTCTGGCATGAACGCAAACATGAAACGAACTGTTTTGCATTTCGATGCGAAATTCGACGCGATATTTACATTCTATCGTAACAGAACCGGACGCAAAGCTAAACCTAAACTAAGTCGCCGCCGTTCGACTTTCCGGTGCTTCGATTTCGGCTATTGTTGTCTTAGGAATGCAATTTAAAAACACAATATCCGTTTTGTTTCTACATGTTGCTGAAAAAAGAAAAACAAATTCGCAATATGTTGAATTTGAATTGGGAAATCCGGACAATAAATAGCGAAAACATTATTCGCTTTGATATTAAACTTGTTTCAACAACTTGATGACAAAGTAAAAGTTTTATTACACGTGGATATGTGCGTGATAAAATGACAAAACACGCGTTGCGCAGAAAAGCCGGAAAAGGTTCGGAAATGATCGCGGATGTTTCGACGACGCTGTTTCGGGCTTCCGGTGCTTTACGGCGGATGCGCACAACTAATTGGAAATATTAATTAAACCGCTTCGAAACAAGCATTTTGCATGTGTGAAAATTGTCACTTATAAGCAACCAAATATTCATAAACACATAAAAAGCATTTTTAAAATAAAAATTTAAGTTTTTTTAGTCTTTTACATTTTGTTATCATAAAAAATTTGAAGCTTAAAGACGAGCAGAAAATGTATATTTGAACACTACATTTGAACTAAATGTTTCCGCAAGCAACTATTTTCCATCCGGTTTGGTTCATTTTCAGCTGTTTCTGTCCATGCAGCGCCTGAATGTAAGCGGTTCCCGCGAGAGATTCGAAATGCGATCACGTCCTGCCGAATCAAGTGTTACTGCCCGGAGATCAATAACGTTTTACGTTTTACCGAAACGGATATTTCTCTTCTCAGTTGCGCGTCGCGCAGCAAAACACACAAACAGAAACAACGAAAAAAGACGAAAAAACTTCGACAAATTGGAAAACGATTTTTCTAGCTTTTTTACTTCAAAATCAATACAAGTACACCCAATATATAATAAATTAATTATTAAATATTCAAGGTTATTCAATTTCAAATTATGTTAATGTGTGAATGAATAATTAAATAATACGCTTTGAGCATTTATGTTTTGGTCATGCGGCGCTGTTTGATTGTAACCAGCATAAATATGTAGAATATGAAACCGGATTTCCGTCAAAGTTTCATCGCAAACCGGAATAAAGTAATTGATTGTTTGCGGTTTTTGTTTCGCATTCAGCGCGCGCATTTATCAAACGTCGAACAGCGACAATCGACGAGCGAGTAATTTGATATTATTCGCTCATTTATCATTTTAACGTAAGTTGAAAAGAATAAAAATTAACCGCACAGCTTGAATTTCGCTAATAAAATTTAATATTGCATTAAATCACAAAAAAAAAAACATTTAAAACGCAAAGTTTGCACTTAATATTTGTTTTGCAAGTCGTGGTGGAGGCGCCGGGAGTTCACCTCGTACTTGTGTTTTTCTTGAACCGATAAGAAACTTTTAACAAGAACCGACGTGACAAAATTGGAATAAAACAATTTTCGTTGATTTTTTTTGTTTTGCTTGTTAACTATACCGAAAATTATTACAGCTATTGCTTCCCGAAATTACAACTGAAAGTTTGTGAAGCTCGTGTGAAACTTTCAGCAAGTCTAAATCCCGGTAACCGGCCATTCGTCTTCGTGTACAAATTAATCATTCCGCGCGTCGCGGCACGTTGCTCACGTTCAAGCCGAAAGCGATTACTCAATTAATTCCAATTCCAGTTGGTCGCAGTTAGTTTGCGCGCGGCATTACTATTGTCCGGAAGGTAACTAAGAAATAGCGTAGAACAGACGGGGGTGGTTTCGTGACAGGGGCTTCTATACTTACAGCGGACGCGCAGGGCGACGGGCCGGCTCATCGTCTCGCCGCGGGGATTCGCCGCCTGGCAGGTGTAGTCGCCGCCGTGCCACCTGGTCACCTTTTGCAGGACGAGGCTGTGCGTGCTGATGATGACGCCCAGCGACATGTTCTGCGTCACCAACTCGCCCTGGAATGAAACATAAATTAACGTCAGCTTCATCGTCTTTCTAGAAATTGAAAAAATGAAATAAACGAAGAAAAAGTACATATGTAATAATTTGTTAGTTACAACGTTTATAACTCAAGAACGGCTGGACAGATTTTGATCATTGATGATTTTTTAGATTTGTTATTACCTGGAATAGCAGAATAATTACTAAAATAACTAATATTATGACTGGTAGGGCGTTAAATAAGGGATGAAAGTTGATATAGAGGTTTAATCATAGTTGTAGTTAATTAATCGAATCCCAGATGGCGTTAATGTGCATTATTAACATTTGTCATTAATTTAAAATAAAATTTCAAAATTTATTACTAAAAAATGCAAAAGCAAGTTGTATATAAAATTGTAAATTTAAATAATGGAAATAATTCAACGTTTTGCTTCTGTTTCTACCAAAAATAAAAATCCCTCGCAGAGATTCGAATCAAGCGCACATAAATTTTGCTTTATCTGATTGATCCAGCGAGAAGTCAAACTCCAACTTTTATTCGTGTGTTTATTTGTTCGGAAAACAAGCAACAGACTGGCAACCTGCGAGCGATAAAAAAACTTTTCGTTTGTTCCGTCGGTTGAAACTTTCTACCTACCATGATGGTTTCTGTAGCTTTCAAGCTCCGAATAACATTTTAATGATGTCAATGTTAATAATAAAAAGCCAAACGCACAAAGTTCGACTTTTTCGATATTTCTGAGACGTTGAACATATTGCGGAATGAAAAAAAGTCAGGATCATTTAGCAAAGTCGTAAAATATCAAAAAAATACTTATTATATATGAGGTGGAAAGTTGCGTAAGATGATGACGCCGAAACTCAGATTGATGCTGTGCGTGTGAGGTTTATGTTTAAGGTGTGGTGTGACGTTATGTCCGAGTCTCCAGAGTGTGAGGGTGGGAGAGTGAAGCAAAAAGTTAATCTAAGAGTGATTAGTCTGTTTCCCAACTTGATACGTTAAAGTTTTCCCCTGGAAGGTAACCAACGGCGGGCGTTGGGCCAACCGAGCGAGGGCATTTATAAGCTACTAAAAGTTGTGACAGTTTGACCAACGCAGGACGCCGGGACGCCTTAATGCGTGCGAGCGATAATAAATTTCCTCCTAATCTGTGACGCAACACACAAAAATCCGCCAGAAAAATCAGGTCTAAAGTTCAAGCCTAAGGAGCAATTGAAAACTCTTTGAAAATGTATTATAAATAACCAGTCCTAACCTTAAAACTCAGCGATCCGCATCGCCTCCAAACCTCAAAGTTTTTTTCTGTGAAAGTTTCAATGCGTTTGGATTTTTTGCGTAGTTTAGAGGGTTAAATTTTGAACTTGAGTCTGAATCGACTCGTTGGTGATTCGGGCTGATCCGAAATGCGAATAAACAGATTTAATGGCCAGACTGGGGCCATTTACCAGCCAGACTACAAGGCTGCCAACTCTGCCAAGACCACTATGTTATACCGTGTTAAACACTGTTATACGACCGTGTTGTATGTTGCTAAAGTTGCAAGTTACTAAAAGACATTTAAAGGTCCCTCCAGAGAGTCCTGAACGTTGGGTGGACGTCTATATCTTGAACATATTTTATAACAAACAAAAAACTACCAAAAAGTAAAAGAAAAGTTTTAAAAATAACGTAGGCAACCAGTTGTGTAAAGTTAAGTGTGACTGGTTGCCTATAACGAAAGAAAACACAAATAAAATTTTACAGTCGCTAGAAAAACGCTAAATTTTTACACACTTTTTGTATTCTCATGGTGACAATGTCTTCGAAGAGCAATAAACGTATCGAAATCGCATGCATCATGTTTATTCGCCTATAAACGACTGAAATTGCCCGCGCCCCAACCCACATAATGCCCATGGTAAAAAAGATATAAAAAGGAAAGGCGCGCGCTCGACGAAGATCTATGTTTAACTGCTCTTCTACTTCCGGCCGCTCTTTTACGATTCGCTTATACTCATCGCGCGTCCGTTTTATACACTCCCAACTCGCGCGGGGTGCGTGTGTTTATGAGGCGTGTGCCGCACGCAAAACTACGCTTTTATTTACCGCACATGTTTTATCTGCGTTGGCGCGTAACGAGACGTAGTTGTTCTGTAACAATGGAACATAAGGTAGGCAACCCAATATACACATACTTGAATAGCTTAGCGGTTGCGTGTGCGGCAAGCGGATGAAGATGTACACTGGTGAGTTGTGTCGTCAAGAAACGTGGCAATGTAGGGGAGGCGCAGTTTTCCCGCCGAGTGCGAAATTTATTTGCCGCTGGCGCGATTAAGGCTATGCGACACCGGCGGTTGCCGACATTGCTCCGGTGCAGGGACGAACACGAAATGCAGTATATTATGCGCCTGTGTGCTGTGTGTTTTATGCGCTCGTCTCGTCGGCACGCTGATAATCTGCGCGGCGCGGAGCATTTAAATGCCGCTGCGAATTGGATTCAACGCCGAGGTATTCGAGCAGACGGCGAGAGAAAGATTGGTGGAAATCCATCGTGCGCGCCGATGTTTTATCGTTTGTTTTGTGTCTCCTGTGGGTAGACTTCTGCACTGCAGAGTTTTCTGCATGAGTGCTTGCATACATATGTGTAAGGTATGCAACCAAATATACCAACTCTGTAAATTTATTCATTTAGACGTTTTAGCTTTTTACAGAAAAAATTTATAAATTTAATTTTCGCTATAAATAATTATCTCTGAAAGATTTATTTCCGTGGTTTAGTTCTTCACGCCACTATTAAGAGTCAGCGGGTGGTATAGTAGCGAGTAAAAAGGTCGACGCTGAGGAAAATTAGAGAGTCGTTTAAATTATGCAAACACGAATTACCGATAGATTAGAGATACCACTCGTTTCGGTCGTTTAGGGCGTCGTTTTCGGCCGCCATTACGACGCTGCAACGCTGTGGATTAAAAAGCGCGTGTTCGCCGAGGGCGCGCTCAAAATCGCCGCATCGCATGTAATCAGTGCGAAAGAAGCACCAGCACCAGGCCAGTAATATAACAAACCGCCACCGTCGCCATGCATGCCGGCACGAAAACCTAAATTGGTTAACGAAGTTGGAAGTTAGGAGATTGCAGATAAGAGACGAACATGGAATATTTATAGATGCGAATAAAAAAGGCTAGACAAAAAAAACTTCGGAAAACAAAAGAGTTTCAGTTTTTTTTTGATTTTTTAAGGTAGAATCTTACTTGTAATTAAATTATTTATAAATTTACATTGGGAATTCTTTTGTAGGTTTAATAGTTCATGAGTTATAGTGTGTTAAAGTATATAACTATCATTAAATCTCTGTATCAAATTTCATCTTCCAATTTAACACCCTTTAAATAAATATTTCAGACATTTTAATACTTATTATCTTATTCTAGATAAAGACAAATCCAAAAACACAAAAATCATAAAAATGTATCCAACCGATCATGAGTTATAAATGGTTTAACTAACACGACTATAGAAATATGAATAAAAACCATGATGAAATAAGATTTTTTAAAAATCAAACTGGAAGGTCGTTTTTTCTTTTCTCAACTTGTTTAAAAAACCTAAAACCATGTTATTTCAAAGCAGCATTGGTTATAAATTACATCCACGACACAAATCGTTTGAAGCGCTTAGTAGGGTTGTTCTCAACCCAACGTGCGTGTAGAGGTGTATATCACCCCCGTCGTGCACTCTGTTCCACCACCGGCAAGATTAATGTGATGTGTTCATTAAATATGTAAGACGGTATTATGCCATGCAAAGGTGGAACCGCCGAAGAAGGGCGCAGGTTAAGCAGATACGAGTGGTAAACAATTAATCCGGCGTAATCACCGGAAGCGACATGAACGCCATCTTAAATCTCAGAAGGGACCAACCACTGACTGATAGAGCAGCGGTTCCAAATTGCAAAACAAATTTCGTACATCTAAACATCTAAAGTGTCGCCATCTACATAAACCTAACCAACAAATCCTTCTATGATTAAAAATGAAAGAATCACGTCACGTAATATATTTAGTATAGTATTTTAAGCCGAAATTTAATTTACATTTTAGTTGTTTTTTGCCTTTTTTTGCTTTTGTTTTGTTTGGCGGAGAGGTAGATTGCATGGTGGATATTGTATCACATAATAACCTGCCTCGACAGTCGTGTTTCTATTAATTGTGCCAATTTTGAAAGGACCGCATGTGGCCGGAACGCCTTTGAATAATTCATATCGAAGTTACAGCGCAGTTGTAACGACCCGCCGGCGCGCAGCCCTTAAATCGTCCGCCGCTCGGCCGTTACAACACGACATTACTTATAATTACGCGTGTTTTATTGTTTTATGTATTTACGGATTGTGCACTCTACAATTTCGGCTACTAAAATATTTCTGCCCGACCTGGCTAAGTTTTTATTTCAGAAATAAAACTGCGTGGAGTATTAGATTTTTAATCACCGCGCTATTAATTTAGTTCAATTTGTGCGTGGCGTTGCTTTTTATTGAGTTCTCATGATTTTCATTACATGAGTTTGGTTTGAGGAAGGAGAAGGGGAAGGAGAAGGAGGGTGGAAGCATGTAACATTAGATTGCGTACGAGGCAATCTAGGACGACTATAAAATCGTAAATTTGGTTCGCCAGCAACTTGTGGGGAAGCATTATGTAAATTGCAATGCGTAGAAAACCCCCACTCGAGGAATTCGGGTGGTTGGAAATATAAAGTTGCGTTTTTTTTTCAAAATCACACGCTAGTTATTACTGAATACTATTTTTGCCTGCAACTTTGTGAATTTTAATAAAAAGTAGCCTGACTTAATAATTTCTTGTTGCTTGGATGAATTATGCAAGAAATTCATCAATAAAAGTATATATGTTGTTATAAAAACATGAAAAATCCTATTAATGTACTTTAGCGCCATCTAGATTCGACTTATATAACTATAACTTTGAATAAATCACCATAACAACTTTTATCCCTTATTTTTCACTCTTTCAGTTAAATATTTACAACAAAAAGTAGCCTATTTTCTTTTCCATGGTCAAAACTATCTCTACTCCGAAATTTATCAAAATTACTTCAGTAGTTTTGACGTGAAAGCGACACAAACATACAAAAATTTCACTATCCAAAATTTTACTTCTTATAAACTAATGTTTAGTTTTAATACCTTGAAATTAAAACAAATGTACTTACATTATGAAACCAAGTGATCTTGTGCTGTCGGGGGTTGCTCCTGATGTTGCACTCAAAGTACACGTCGTCGCCCTCTTTGATGTCCTCCGGATTGAGCGTGCTGCCCAAGTGGAGCGTCACTTGCGGCGCGTCTGCAAGCAGAAAAAAAGATCGCTTTTTACTTCAATTTCCTCCACCCGAGTAAAAACCAACAACCCGTTTTTTTGTCCCTCCTCCTCCGCCACCGCGCCACCCTGCGCGACTGAAGATCAACAAAAGGCGCCGACTGAAATGAGCGAAACGAGCCGCGCCGTCAAGATGCGACCGGCCGTAGTAACAGCGATGATATTCAAACAACTTCACCACCAGACGCCGAGATATTTACTTAATTAAAGTAATTAATTTTGATTTCGTGTTGAGATGACGCTTTTTTACCACGCAAAAAAACACACAACAATGATTTCATTTTATATTAGTTTTTGTTGTTGTTGGTAGAGACGATAAGATCTAAACTGGCAATTAATTTTTTACAACTTTAATTTCAATCCAAGAAAAATGATGAATTATTTGATATAAGTAAGTTAAAACTCAAATCTTGAGACTTCATGTCTCATTTTATTATTTAAGAATATTTCGGCGATGCTTTTTGATACTTACTCATGTTTCAAGCACGTTTTAAGTATGTTCAAGTGGAATTTACTGAAAAGCAGGCCGGCTGCTTTACGACGCGCTCTTAAGTGCAATTAATAGTCTTCCATGGTTTCGTCCATAAAAGAACAACCGTCTAATCTCTTAATCCTATTACTCGCGAATCCTGCGGCGCTTTCAAAGCGCGATATAGGTAGCTCCCAAAGCGTTAACGAGAAATGCGATGCGTTAATTCGTTTTTTACTTTTACCTTCGTCAAAACAAAAAAAAAACTGATTTTTACATAAAATCAAAATTTTTTATTTTAAGGATATTTCATTATCCTTTATCGTAGGTCAGGATAGCTTTAAATTCTAGTCATGAATACCCATCCTATCCTTGTCCTGATTGTGTCTATCGCGTTTCTATAGGGCGTTAAAAGCGTGTTGAATGAACGAAGTCCCTTATTGTCCTCATTGTCCTTCGTCGTCCTTATTGTATATTCAACGCTTCGCAACTGACGTTTTCACTCGCAAGTCCTGAAAATGAGCGTTGAACGCACCTCCTACGCACCACTTCACCGGGGGAAGGAAATAGAAATTGTCCTTCAACCTTCCACGGTGCTTATCCTTAACCTTAGTTTTCGACACTGGGGTCTGGTAGTCGAAGGAAACGTACGTATTGTAGCCCGGCGCCTCCACCCGACCTCCGCTTTATCTTAATTAGACAAATTAAAGGGTCACTTGACGTTTTCATTTGCCTACGCCGTTTCGTCCTCTCGTGCGCTGTGCAAAGATTTGAGTTTGTATCATTTAAGGCGACAGCGGCGAAACATTTTAATCGCTGTTGATTTAAAAAGTTATCAAATATAAATGGCGTTAGTAGCCTATCGGTTGTAATAAAACGCCATCTATCAATCACTGTCAGAACTTAAATTTATATTTGTGAACAATACACAGCATGTATTTTTATCTTATTTTATACGGAATTTATCGAAAATGGCAAATGGAAAAATATTTGCATGAATGTTCAATGTGCAAGTCAACGATTGATGTAATAATAATGGACAAGCGCTGGAGGAAAATAGCACACTGCAACCAGGCGCGCATTTGCATCGTGCACAATGAACATGTAACATGTAAGACATGCTGATTTCGATTCGCTCTCTCACTCGCCGACGTCGTCATTTTTCTCCAGCCGCTTTGGACGCGTTGCTTCTTTTAGTTACCCCGCACAGAGGAAAGCGTCGCCTAGCGTCGCAGGAAATCTACGGGCAATCGTCGAATATATGAATGCGAACGTGAATAAATGCGAATAAATGCGAATCGCGCTCGCTTCGATTTCGCATTTTGCGCCGTGGCGAGGACGCCTTGCGAATGTTACGACCCGACTCCAAGCACCCACACGCGCACGAAAACCTCATTCTCATGAGGTTTCGAGTGGGCGGAAAGCGCGCACTCAAGGTGGAGGCGCGCTCACGAAACGAACCGGCCAACCAACTCTCGAGAGTTCGAACGGAAAAATTATTATGAACGCATTTGGGTCACCGTTGATGGATTATACCTCGTTGCACAAACACACAACCACATAGGTAGGCAACCAAGTACACACGCACATCGACAGGTCGAGTGAAAAGGTGGCGTGTACGTTTCAATACCACCAGCAGGGCCGGGTGGTCGGGTTTTGGTGGCGAGCGCTCTCGAGCGAAATTTGCTCATTCTGTTTCGTTTCGTTCGGTGCGCTCGGACGAACGGACGGACGTCGTGACGTTGGAAATCGCCTCAATGTTGCCAACGAGGGCAATTCTTGTGTACACTCTTCAGAAAAAGGTAGTCGAGAAAATGTGAAAGAAAGCTTTGGAATATCTAAGGATACCTTGAGAATGCTTTCTCAAATGCGTAGCAAACCCAAAAGCAGAGAATACACAAATACCCTTCTTTTGGTAAAAATTCCAAAAAGAAATCATTGTATTTTTAAGAATTTGAAGTTTTACAATAAAATAAACTTTTCCAAAACTAAATTTTTTCATAAATAAGCTAATTTAACGTTTTTTTTTAAAGAAGAATTATTAACATTCATGAATCTGACTCTGAATGTGAATGCGATTCATTGCCCGACAGACTTGTCGCGCTTTGTTGGCTGCGCAATAATTTTCGGATTTTTCCATTTTTATGTTCATAAAAGCCCAACGTTTCCTTCTTAAAGGTCGCGGCGGCGCTAAAATGTGGATATTTGTGGGCTAGTAAATTTTGCGATTTCGCCAAATACCTGTCAGCCGCAAGGTTATTGCGAAACGAACGCAGGCGGCAACCCCCGCCGCCGTCGTCCGTAACAACCCTTGAACACCACCTTTCGGGTACCACCCAGCTCAGACACAATCACGCACTCGGATGTAAATGTGGGGGCGACAAACGGCCACGAAATACAATTCCACGCATTCTTAATAAGATGAAAATCGCTTTCCACACGACGCCGGCAATGTACATACCGAAACTCATGGAGCAGTGTCGAGTTGCTGTTGGCGGGGGAGTCGAGGGATGTATACGGTGTGTGTGCGAGGGGGCGCATAATGAGAACGCGACGATATGCGTTTTATGTAAATGTATGGCGTTTTGCAAGCACGCACTCGCGTAAACAAGCCGAAATGTATCATCAAAAAACGAAAAAGTCTACGCGCCAAGGACACAGAACATTTTTGAGTAATTTTTGATTAATGAGACAAAAAAAAAACATAAAAATATAGAAATATATAAATTTTACTTACACACAACGTTGAGTTTAAAGGAGTCTTCTAATCCGGCACCCTTCAAGCTGGGATTTTCACCTCGACACTTGAGAAACGTGCCGTCATCTTCCGGGACAGGTGCGAACGTCACTGAGCTGGTTACCAGCGTGTCATTTTCAGATTCAATAACCTATAAAAATAGAAATTTATTTTGTTTTATTTATTTGTTTATATTTTTACTCAAAATAATTTTATTTGTAGCTACAACACGCAATATCACATTTTTAGTGTTTTCCACTTCAAAAAATAATAATATATTGTTTATGACTACGTAAAATACTATACTTTATACATAAATGCAGAAAATTTAGATTTTTCATAAATGTCAATTATTTCTTTTTATATTACATCTGAATCCAGGCGTAAAATGTACGCGAAATGAAATGAAATGCATTCGCAAGTGTCATTTCCACGAGTGTGCGCATTCATTTTTATCCGCGCGCGTTTATTTATCGCCCAGCGCATCGAATGTTTTATTCATCGGCGCTAGTTTTAAGTTTACAACGTGTGCGCACAATAATAAATCCGCCATTTCCATTTGCAACTGATTCAGATCACGCTAAATCAAATTATTTTTATCGCTGCATAAAAATTTATAAAAACAATACAAAAATCAATCCAGGAATAAATTTTTAAGATCTGATTCAAATCGTTTCTTAATTAAAAGTGATAACATTTGTTCAGATTCCGAAGGCGCGCCGCAAACTCGGATAACATTTTATGTCGTATTACTAATTCCCCGCGAGAGTTGTGAAGGGAATAACTTTAGGTTTTATTACGCCCGCGCACTCATCCACGACCATCCGGGGAAGCAGCGCTCGGCGGGCCCAAGATGGAGTGTAATCGGGTATAAATTTTAAAATTTTAAGAAGTATAGGAAAGCGACTCCGACCTGATACTAACTTGGTTTTAGCGCATGGCAGATTAAAATATTCTATCTGGTAAAATATGTTATATAAGTTTTAAAGTATATATTTCCTAGCGAGTGTATTTTATTTCATGCATATATTCAGGCATATTCATTTTCGAACGTTGAAAATGCTGAAAACGGATATTTAAAAAGCGCTTTAAGTTGCGCTTTGTGCGCGCTCACATTATTTAAGAATTGTTAAATATCTAGGCGGGCATTATGTGCGCGCATCCTTGAATGTCATGAATAGCGAAACGAATTCTTATCAGGCGCGCCTCGCGGCTCCAAATAGAAGAATGAGAAGCGGAAGAAACGTTTGTGCTGATAGTGTAGTTGATGGCCAGAGGGCATTCGGAAAATCACTTATACTTTATACTTTCTTACTTTCGTATTTTCTTTTCTACAGCCTAGATTATAACTTGATCTTATTTAAATCAAAGAAATTTAAAAAATACGAAACATTTACGTTTCTTTAAATCCTTTGCTGATAAGTGAAAAAATAAAATAAAAAATATTGTCGGATTTAAATAAAATAGGGTTTTACGTAAAAATAGCTTTTTCAGTTCAACGTTTTCTTTGAATTTACGCTTCATGTGATAATTTTGTCCCTTTCAAATTGGAATTGAATAGATTTCCAAGAGTTACGCGTATTTGCAGCTTTAAATAGTTTTTCTTGTATTTTATTCGTAAATCTTACCTTTCCACGGCGAAACTGCCGATTATCCCTTGTCCAAATAATGTTTGCCTTCGGCCTTGAACCAACCACTTCACACTCGACGAGGTATTCTTGATCAGCTACCATTTGGTGAGGTTTATGTGTGATTGTTACATTTTGTGGAGCCACTAAACAAGAAAAATTAAATTGTAGAAATTTATAATTGAATATTAAGTATCAAGTGCGTTAAGTGGCACTTTAACAACGCTTAGCGAGGTGCAAGCTCCACCCCGTTACTAAAACCCGTGAGTAAAGTGCTTTAGTCACTGCCGTGAATAAAGTACCACTTTTCAAGTCTCGAGACCGTGGGAAAAGTGTTTTTAAAAATTAAAGTAAAAAATTAAATTATTAATTATTTACTTACATAAAAGTTCCAACCGTACAGTCTTCTCAGCCGGCATCATTAATTTCGTATTACTCGCTTGACATTTGAACGACGAGTTTAAATCTTCCCTGGATAAAGATCTAGTCTCTAACCGATTTATAATTACGTTGTTTTTAGGATATGACAGTTTCCCCTCGACCAATCTGTCGTTGACAAACCACGAAACCGTCGGAGCGGGTCGACCTGTAACAAGACATAAATATTAATAACTTTATTTTTTCGTATGGTGCATTGTGATGTGTGATTTATTCGATGTAGTCCGCGCGAAATACGACGCAAGAAAGATTATTGAAGAGATTGAATGTGAAGTGCAATTTTTATCGCCACAAACAAGATAATAATGCATTTTGGCAACCGCATCCGCACAGCGGCAGCCACAAACGCGTCGGGAGCGAGCCAATATGTTATCTTGGTTGCCTGCTTTTTAGAGTCTGGTCGGCCAGCCAAGCGATGGGAGATAAATAAATTTGCTGACTCCAATTCACATTCGTTTCCTTTCTCAATTCGCGTTTTCTTCGCGCTCGGCTCTAAACCACAATACAGCAACAGAGAAAAACATAAAGTACGAAGTCAAAGCTCAACAAGTTCTTGGCTGCACTACAAAACATCACCAGATGTTCTGCGTGCTTTATAGAATATTGCAAATGTTTTATGCTGAATGTTTCTGATTTGATTTTTTAAAGAGGTATTTAGTTACTTGAGGGTAACTGGTCGTTGGCCTAGATTCGTGTGGAACTCGGGCACGAATCGGGCGCGACTGCTATTCGCCTAAAACCCGAAACCTAAATAAAATCGAGCAGAAAGTCGATAAGCTAAAGAGAGACACGCAAGGCCCGCTTTTGCACGCTTCGAGGCGATGGAAAAAGCGTCGCAGGTGTGCACGGCTGGCCTCTTTGCTCAGCGAAACACAGCGGCGGTGTTAGATTAGATTCATATCGTAAGGGTTGCCAGGGTCGTGCTTACGCCCTAATGTAGGTAATACCAACTATATAGTATATTTTTATCATCAAAAAGTTACCAAGAACATAAAAATCATTAAAATTTAAGAAAAACATTTAAAGAACCAATTGTTAAGGGCTAAAACTGTTTTTATCAAACATTTTCATGATAGGATCGTAAAACATTGTAAGTTTTGGAGCAAATACTCGTATATCAAGAAGCACGAACGACGTTGACAGCGTCGAATTTATTGAGGAAATTTTAAGGATGAATTAACGTGATTTACGCTCCCGGGTCGCAAAAATTACCTTCATTAGCATTATTAACATTCCACACCTAACATAAAAATTATGCAACCCAATTTACATATACACGTGTTATTTTGATTGCCTATTTTTAGGCGCAGCGCTATTATATTCATTATTTTACCACCCTAAACCGATTAACAGAATATGTTAGGAGGGATCCATGGTAAATTAATATATTCACGAGGGCGATGATGCACTACGCTGTAGAACTTAGCGGATTGTGTACTCGTGCGATTCGACGTTTAACACGTGTCAATTTCCAAAGTCTAAGTGCGCAACATCGATGCATTATGTAAGCGTCGGCTGGGGCTCAATGCTCGCGGGAGCGCTTACAGCCCGGCGCCTCCACCGCCGGCTGCAACACACCGTCGATTCCATCATCTCGATTGAATCTACGATGGCTTTAGACACATGATACCGATACATATTCACGCTGTTTCCCATATATCGCACACAAATAGATATTTGCTGCAGGTGGGTATCAAATTCGCTAAGCGTTCGTGCGGTTTCGCATGCGCGCAAAATCAAAATCGTGCAGCGTTCATCAAGGTGTGCTAAGCGAAGATTATTATCCGGAGAGAGACGTAGTAATAAATAAATTTCCATCTCGCGCCTGTTCAAACAGTGTCGCATTTAGGGGTTGTAAATGCACGCGTAAAACCACATCTTGTCAAACACATCCGGCCATAATCTGGGCTAATGTTGAATGTAAACACATTCGAGACGGATTAGAAGCTGCATCAGAAGATTAGAATATTGTTTTATTGATTTTATTGGTTTTGGAATGGAAATATCAATAAATCTAAATAAATTTAAACAATTTGTGATTATTTTATTTATATTTGAAATATTGTGAAATATTTATCAAGAAATGTTGCAGTTGTAGCATCTATAATCGGATTTGTTTGCTATTTTCCTCCTATCTCTATTCGTTTTATTCTACTTTTATTGGAATTTACGACTGATTCCCACGAATACAAGGTTTTATTTCGAGTTTCTTCTCGGAGGGCGCGCATTGCCAGCACTTAGATTTGACAGCCATCAAACGCGCGCTGCTCCACCACTCACGTTTACTGCCGGCTAAAACTGATTCACGTAGGAGTATCTCGGCTCGAATTTCCTATTTCCAATTGGAAACAAGATATAATCGTATGTTTTGATGATCGGGGACACAAATTTCAATCGGGAAAAATTCACGCTTTTCTATGTTGCATGTGAAAAACGGGTTTAAATTTTTCTCTGTTTGATCAGAAGGTAGCTACTAAACTAACCTAAATAGCACGCTAGTGTGCTCAAAACATCCTCAACGTCCTTTCTGGTCTGCACTCGGGCACTCCACAGTAATGTGTTTCAGATGATGGGATTCGAAGGAAGAAGGTCTTTGCGAGACGTGCGCATCAGCATCTACGTGCGGATGTTGGGAACTTGGGAGCAATACCAAGAAGATAAAAATTGCCTTACTGCTTGCTTTCGTCCTTTTCATATCTTCGTTGGTATTTTTTGTTAAAGTGAACCTAAACCAACAATACGAAAAACAACACGGACTTAACTGACTGTCACAAAAACAAATATTGATGTTATTATAACTTGAAGTTTAGTTTTTAATATTACAAGTTAAAATGGCTTTAAATTTTAAAATATTAAAATATTAAATATCATGTGCGCTAAGTGGTACTTTAACCACGTTTAGCAAAGTGATGTGTTTTATAACATTGCTCCGTGGACAAATGCGCAGGCGCAAGCTCCACTCCGTGACTAAAACTAATGACTAAAATACTTTAGTCATGACTGTGATTAAAGTATCATTTTTCGAATCTCCAAACCGTAAAAAGGTAACTTTTAAAATGATAAAATAGAAAAATGTATATATTTAGCTACGCCACTGACCTCTGAAGATGATTTCATAATTTTTACATAAATTCAAACGAATACAATTAAACTCCTACTTGAGACATGAATAAAAATTAACAGCACTTAAAAATAATCACAACTGTTAACACAAATTGATATTACAAGTCTCAAGATTCCTTCCTATTCTCTTAGTTGCAGATTGAAACAAAACCAAGAGAAGTAAAACAAATTTGGCAAACTAGTTCCTTCCTCGCCTTCCTAGTTTCGCGTTTGTTTCGCACTGGTTGTTTGATTTTCGGGCCTTCCTCCATCGAGTGTCAGGCGGATCGCTAACGAGTGCAACACAATCTCGCAAGACGGCAAACTCCGCACAAAGACCACACAAGCGCAAGCGGATCGCTGCGAACAAGAGGAGACAAATGTTTTCGTTCACGACAGTACCAACTCCCGAGTAAGTGTGGAGGAGTTGGTAGCAAAGAGCGAAAATATGCTCGGAGCTATTATGAAATATGCGAGTTGACTTCTTGTTCGAGGTCGCTCGCTCGGCTTGATAGATACGTTGCTGGATATGTGTAAGACACACAAGAAATCTAAACTTTTCACTCATCACCCGGCAGCGCTGAGGCTGGCGCTGGCAGCGGAAGACAATTTCTGAGATGCGTGTAGACAACTTTCGAAATTAGCTCGTTGGCGATACTTGTACGCTCAAACTGAGAATCAACTTGTCTCGACGATAAAGATTAGTTTCAGTTAAGAATATAAACACATAGACAACAACGACATCTATATATTAATTGCTTTACGTTTATAATATAATAGATTTATTTTAAGCAAGATTTTGTTCGTAACTTTTTCATTCAAAATTCAAATTCATTTAGCGCCATCTACGATTGAATTAATCTACTTAAATATGATTGAATCACCATATGAATTTTAATCTCTTATTTAACACCCTGTATATCAAATTTTTCAATATTTTAATAATTATTCTGCTATTCTAGGCTTAGACAAATATAAAAAATCTTTGTTCATCAAAATCTGCCCATCCGGACTTGAGTTATAAACGCTGTAACTAACAAACCTTGTTTTATATACATAGATTCACTGCCAATGTATAAAAAAACATTGTTTCTATTTAAAATGATATTTTCAATCAATTTGCAACCGGCCAACAGAAGAAATGTTTGCCCATGTCAATGTTTGAACAAACCGGAAGGCAGCAAAACGCCCGACCGGTTCGGACGTGAGTTTGGGTTGCCAGTTAGCAATACAGCAATATGTGTACAACACTGCACAACACTGTAGCGCGGTGCGCGAGGCCAGTGAAAGCTGAAATATCGCTTTGATTTCGAACTGTCAACCAACGGGCTTGCAGTTTTGGGACACGACGCAAACGTTGAACGGACGCATGACATGTACAAACACGGCCAATTTACAAACTTCGTGCCACACGGCGCATATTAAACTCGTCGACATTTTCTCGCAGCCCTCGAAAACCAGCGGCAATAAAGTGCAAAATTTAGTGTAAGACATTTGGGAGATGCCCACAAACACGGTTATAATATTTTTATATTCACGTAGTTCAAGTAGTTACTGGAAGATGGCAGTAGCGCATATATAAGTATAACGAGTAGCCTATATGGGAAAAGGTAAGAGATGAGTGCATCACTAGTGCCATCTGTGAGCAATAAAATGAACTAACTTTTGCATTAATATTTAGATTATTTTGGCGTAGATGTGAAATTTAATGTAATTTTGATAAATATGGATGAATTATATACCAAATATAAAGCTAACGTCAACATATTTATGATATTTTATGTCATTTTATAAAATACGATATTCCGCGTCATGAAATTATAAAATTTGATATAAAAACAGGTGCGAATTGTGCCCATGAGCACTTTTTATGCGTACTCGAGGATTTTATATCGCGCGTTAAAATTATTGATATATTGAATTTATAAGCGCATTTATTGCCCAAAATGTCGCTCGCTATTACAGTTTTATCGACGCCTTCGGACCCCCGTCGTAAAATCATGAATAAAGTCGCGTGTTGTAAATGTAAAATTCGATTCACAAACAAAACAAACAACAAACCGAATAAAAATTCATCTTGCCTGTAATAAATGTTTAATTTTGATGTACATCCAACAATAAATTAGCGAAATTAATTTACTTGTCGTATTTTTTATGCGTTTAAGGTTTTAATTTGATGTTGCAAAACAATTTGCGTCTAAAAGATCCTAAATTTGTTTTATATCTCGCTGATATTACATATCTCGTCGTTGGGAATGCGTTTCCTGTCGGTGGGCGCTGGTCCCGGCGGGCAATTCCGGTTTATTTGTGTTTTATTCCTGTTTTTGTTTACGCGCACTCAACTTAAATATTTAACTTGGCCCCGCTGCCGCAATCCGCGATATCCTCGGTGCGCGCAAGGTACAAGTAAAAAATTAATTAAAATGTAAATTTATTTTAATCGGACCACGCCGCCGTTCGCTGGTGCCTATATAATACCATATGTAAATACTATTGGGAGAGCGGGTATTCCCAGGCGGGGATTACTTGCGTATAAATCAGGAGGACGTGTCCGGCAATGTGTCAAAGTGAGTTCGGATCAGGACCAAAAATCTTTTTTTAGTTACAAAGCAGAAAAAAAGCGCAAAATTAAAATATTTAATGGGTGTGCTGTCTGCTGTCATTTTTGTGAGGTAATTTCGTCGGATTTACAACAACTCCACGTGGAAATTTATTAAAATTATAACATTGCATTCGTCTCCATCCCCGTGAAACTTGTGTAGCAACTTGCGCACCAAACAACCCTTCTTTATCGCCTCAACACGCGCCATATTTGCGGCACGCTTGCTTTTCTTTGGCATTTCAATATTTGTTGCAAAGAAAACGGCGCGGGGCTCGCCGAGGAAAATTAATTAAGTAATTATAAAACTCAGCGAAATTACGGCGGCGGTTGCTTGCGGTTTTTACGGCCGAAAGGGTTGCGCCCGATTTTGCTTGATGCTCTCGGTGTTTCTTGATGTTTCTTAATGAAAAGTTGTTTGCCCGCTAATTTTGAAAGTTGCGGGGTTGGGGCGGACAGGTGAACGCATAAAAAATCAAATTTTATTTTGGAGTTGTTTGAAAATAAAAAAATTACGTGGATTTGACATAAAATAAACAATAAAAAATTAAAAATAGAAAGTTTTTCGTAAAAATATTAAAATATTTCTATTAAATGACAATTTAAACGTGTTTTGTTGTTAATTTTGCTATTTGGTGAGTTAACAAACTTAAAAACTACGAAAAAATTAGAAATTCTAAAAAGAATATTTAATACGTTGCAAATATTGTATTTTTCTTAATTTTATTACATTTTTTCAGACTTTTATTTAAAAAAAAAAGCAAAAATAATTTTTTACCAAAAAAATCCGCTTTATACCCAACCGTAGATACACAAAAATAAAATATTCAATAGATCATTAATCATAAATTTGTCATCCTAAAGTAAAGAATAATTAACTTAAGCCTCATTATACCTCTGAAACCCACGCGTCCCTGGAGCATAATTAAATATTCCTCCTAATCCCACATCAACAATTTTGACTGCTATCATTTTTTCTAATTTTCTGATTTATTTTTTTATTAAAACCTGTATTTGATCGAACATGATCAAATATATCAATTAACTTCATGCGCAGTGGTACACGCTGAGCTATATTTATAATTCAAGCCACTCGTGATGTTCGCGTGCGTCTGGCTCCAACCACAATTCGAAATAAAGTAAAAGCAGTGTACAAGTTACGCATAAGCCAAGCACGACAAAAACAATAGCACAAGAAAGCAAAAAAGCAACGCGAGACAAAAATAAAGAAAACTCAGGTGGCCGAAAAGACCTTTCACGTCAGCCGTTCATATCTTATTTAAGACTCCGTCGGCGGCGGCGAGCACTGATAGACTTTCCGGCGGGCACGTACGAAATATCTTTATTAGATGGGGAAGGCTCTCGGCATTAATTTTTCAGCAGACTTTCAACGCTACAGCACCCAGTACGCACGCATTGTTCCTCGTCGTCATTTTTATTCTCTTATAGCGTAAATAAACCTTACTAGAGCATTAAAGGCAACCAAGATGCTTGGTGTTAATAACTTTGGTTATATTCACAATGGCTGTTTGTGTACATCTGGTTGCCTAGCTTAAAAAATCAACAACATGTAAAATATTACTCAGTTTGTAAGTAAATGTTTTTCGCAGTGTTTTGAAAATTAATTCCAGCATTGATTATGTAACCGAGCGTGCAGCCTCTAACCACGCCATCGCCACGCCACGTTATTCGCCAACTGGTAATTAACTAAATGTTGTGCTTCAACCGCTGCACGAGCGTACGTAATAATGTAATAATGAAAAGTACGCCGACGTCCCGCGACGGCGGCGGTGGCGGCGGGGGCGACAAAATGCATAAATAAAATCGCCATAAAAAGAAAGCGGCCGCGCGCAAAACCGACTTCGACGCGGCGGCGTTATTCTAATTATACGAAAAGCACAGTCAAACAAAACGCCAGCGAGTGGAAAAAAGCTAGGCGAACCGCCTCCGACATTAGCGGCGGCGCGCGACATGGCCAGAATGTATATAGTTGAAATGGTTGCGAACGAGTAAAAACAACGAGAGTGGAGAGCAGCAGCAACAGGGCGGCCGCGGCGAGCAGTTCATTAATCTTTCTTGATATTAATTAGGTTAACAAGACATATTATCGCGTTTTACGATAAAGAAATGGTGTATATGTAACGGCTGGCAAAAACCGGCGAACAAAACGAGCTGGAACGGCGGAACAAAGCGCGCGATGAAGGTGGAAACAAGAGAAATGCAAATTACTAGAAAATTGTGATGTTAATTATAATTACGAAAAAACATTAACGCAAAAATTTTCAAAAAACAACAAAAAAAAACATTACGCAACCAAATTTTCATATATTACATATATGTATACTTGGTTGCCTACCTTAAACGTCAATGAAAAACACTGTATACTTGGTTGCATACAATAAATATTTTCATCACTTACCTCCACGAACTTCACAATCCAAAGCCAAATCCGTATTTTCCTGCAGAGGCCCAATCACCCCATCACCAGAAACCTCCCGTCCAGAGTGATACAAGATGACAGCATGTGGTGGAACTGAAACCAAACAAGTATCATGTTCATTAATTCGTGCATCAATATGAATTACTTTGTTACTATGCAATAATATGACCAGTCACTGCGCCGACAAAGATTCAATCTCATCCCACACGTGTGCGTATATTATTATGTAGCAATTTCACAGATGCGTCGAGTGCATAATAATTAATCAAACGTGGAAACGCCCCGGCGCCATGATATCGAATTATCCACGCTGGCGTGCGCGTTCGCACGCACCAAACCTTATTATGCGTTGGCAAAACGTGTCCGGACGTGTTCAAAATGTAAATATTGTCGATGCAAGCGTATCGCTTAAAATATGCGCGCGGGCGCTTGCGAGCGTGTAATTAATTTAAATCGATGCGAAATTAAGTGAAACATAATGATATCGATTTTTGGCGTATGATGTATTCACGTTTGATGATAATTTCGGTTCGTCAACAACGGAACAATGAATTACTACAATCGAAAACATGTAATACTAAAATAGATACAAATTATATATAAAAAGATAGTTGTGTTAGTTACACCTTTTATAACTCAACAACGGCTGAACAGATTTTGATAATCAATGATTTTTTGGACTTGAGTAGGTCCCTAATAGAAGAATCACAACAATTATTATAAATGCGAAAGTCCTGATGTTTGTTACACTTTGACGCAAAATCTACTTAACCGATCATCATAAAAATTTGTACACATATTCTTAGTGGTCCCCGAATGGTTGCAGGCTACTTTTTATTTAATAAAAAAATTATTTTTTAAATAAAATAAAGAAATTGTTTAGCCAATAATACCTCTGCATCTGGCTATTTGACTACTTTAACGCCATCTAGCATTCCAGCAATGAAGCTCAAACCTAAGTATTATAGTACCATCACACCGTATTATCACACTGTATTACCGACAGCTACGTCAACATCAAATCCAATTGACTACACTATGGAGACTGTACACTATACTTCCATAGACTATACTTTCAGCCATTTTAAACTTCCCGCCATTCTACTTCATGGTTACTTCTTCTGTGACTACAAACGAGTACGGAAGCAACTTCATTATTTTAAATATTCGCGAGCGAAGCTGCGGGTTAAAGCTAGTAAATAATAAAATATCAAAAGTTATGATTTTAAAAGTGTTAAAAGGGGTAAAAATCAGTATAGTGATTCAATTATAATTAAAGTTAAATAACTAAATCATACATGGCGTTTTTTTTTGCTAAGACTAAGGTTTTTACAAGGCACTTTTATAAAAAATGAAATAAATTTCAAAGGACATTAAATCAAATTTAAATTTGTGTCGCTTTTATGCTAAAATTTAAGTTTGCGTAGCTTAAATAAAAACTTTTTTCAACTTTCCCAAGTTTTACGAAACAATATGAGCGCAAAATTACAACTTCCACTCTGAAAGCGCTGGAAAGCTTGTAATAGTTGTACAAAGGTGCTTGCTTCTAAGCGATGTGATGTAATGGTGTGCAAAACTTGCGTGTATGTGTTCTGAGTGTGGTAACCGCTTTTCTAAAAACAATTATCAAACTACGTGCGCGACTAAATTGAAACTAACTTGTTTAATTTAATTTGTAATTATTGTGGCCTCGCGCCGCCGGGCTATGTAACGATTTACTTACTCTGACGAGACAATGGTCACCCTCTACTGAGTCATCAAACAAAATTCAAATTTTGAATGAATACTCCACATTATTCTCAGTAAAAATAAAAATATGTGGAGTTTATTGTACATTTGGTTGCCTACTTTATAGTTTTGAGCAATGCAACAGCACTTTGAAAATACGATTAGACGATTAAGCGCCTCGCCGACGTCTTTATTAAGTAATATCATCCTGACGACGCGAGGGGCGGTCGGCCGTACCTTTGCGAGGGCTCCGTAGGTGGCCACTTCATTTCCTGCAGCTAAGTGCTCAGTTCTAGTCCACAATTTCCGTCTTGCATGCCGGAGGCGGTGTGGTGCGCGTTTAGCTATGCTGAAGGGCAGCTGGGTGGTAAATAAATGCCGGGCGGCAGTGCACGGGGTGGGCAGAGGGGAGCCGCTGCCAAATGAACGACGAGCCAGGGCGGCTTTGATCCGTCCGGCTTTCGACGGGCGCAATGCAGCGCGTTTTAATATAATTATATCTACAAGCTGATTTGATTTGATTTATTAATGCATGGGTAAATATTTTGAAGTAGCTTTACATCAATAAAATTCGCAATTTTATTTAAAAATAAATAGAAATGCTAATAATCCACTTCAGCGCCATCTGGGATTCAGTTATTTAGCTGCAACTATGAATGAATCTCCATATAAATTTTCAACCATTTTTAACACCCTGTATATTATAATTTTTTGTATTTTAATAATTATTCTTCAATTTAGGATCAAGACAAATCCAAAAAATCATAGATCATCAAAATCTGTCCAGTCGTTTTTGAGTTATCAAAGTTGTAACTAACAAAACTACGTATTATGTATATTTTGCAATGTTAAATAGAAATATAACCTAATAAAACGCAAACTGAGAGTTCTGCGCATGCGTAGTTAATATTTTAATTGAAAAACTCATTTGCATAGATATGTGAAACGTTTCGTGATACTTCATCGACGTTTCCTCTCGGGATGGCAGGAAAATAGCGCAAACGACAGCGCGCGGTTTTAGCTAATGCATCCCGCCGGTTTCTGGCTGCGACGAGCAATAAAATGCGAACGCGCCAGCCGTTCTTTATCGCTCGTAATTGCCTCCGCTCCTCATCATATTACTTCATCTTCAAATTCAACAAAAACTATTCCGGCGCGCACGCTCGCGCTCACAATTGAAACAATTTCGTTTAATGGCATTTCGTCCCCGTCCGACTGCCGGGAATGATGTCGCGCAGCCCGACGAATTACGATCATCTCCCCGGACGCAAACGCGAGCGCATTTTTTAATAACACCATAAAAAACCATTCGCACTCAAGAAATTATACGAGAAACTGTTTTACTCCACGTAAATATTAATTAATTTCTTATCAATGGGCAAAAAACTTGATTTTTTTGTGTGTAAAGATAAATATTTTAAAATTTACAATTTAAGACGTGGCAAGAAACGATGAAATGAAATATCTGCGTGGAATAATAAATGATCGTCATAATTGCGAATCGCACACGCCTTGCAAAGTGGAGGAGGGAAGTTTTTCGGCGGGGGTTGATGGAATTCCAACACGCGTAGAAAACAACGGCGCGACGCCTCGGAATTTTCATCACGAGAATTTTATTCGGTATTTATTCAAACGCACGAATACCGCGCCTAAATATTTGCGCCCAATTCAAAGAATATTATCCTCGAAACAGGACAACGACAAAAACAAGTATTACCCATATAATATAAAATCAAACAATAAAGAAATAGTATGTCTGGGAATAAATTGTTGTAAATTTTAAAGAATTAATTTTGTAACTTTTTTGTAACTTTTTTTTTGGGTTTCGTGAACAAGACAATTATTTTTTGAGTTAATACCGGATTATTCCACCATATGTTTAGTTTTTAACCTGGATGAGTAATCCGTTTTGCACCCCTTAAAACCACGCATAGGGTGAAGCTGGTCGAGGGTTTAATCCGTTTTATTGCCCTTTCTTCTTTTCGTTCCTAGTTCCCACGGTCGTGCGATAAAATTGCTCCAATTCAAACGCAAATATTACGAAATTCAACATTCCACGTCGGGTAAATCCAGCAAAAATAAAATGGAAGGACACTTGTTCTCGAATTATGGTAGTTTAGTATGTAACATGCATAAAAAAATGGTTGCAGTTTTTTTTTGGCAAATATTGGGCAATAAAATATAAAACGTGAAACTTAACGAATTTTGAACTTTTTTGAAAAGTGGTAATTTTTGGTTATATTTTTAGGGGTGTTCTTAGCCCTTCAGGTAGTGAATATATATAGCACACAAAAGTACAATACTGCAGCTAAATTATCATAAAAAACAAGTTTAGTTTGGGTGCCCCAATCTTAGGATACAGAGTGTTTAATTTTTGCATTTTTTGAAAATTTCAAAAAATTAACTAAGTTCAGCGGCTTTTCAAGGCTGTTTATAATTATTTACACATTCAAAATGCATATCACATGAATAAACAACTTATGATCTATCATATAATGTATTTTGCAAAAATTTGCTGGACTAAATCAAAAGATACAAGATGTTTTTCACAACGTGTTTTCAAAATTTTCAAAAACCGTAAATTTTTTCTCACGATTGAAATGACGCAAAACATGGCAACTACGTGCAAATTAATACTTGTTATGGCAAAATACAGAGTGTTACTATTTTGTTTTTATTTTTACACGTGTTGGTAAAAGTTTATCAATTTTTTTGCCCATTGCTACTGGGCTACTGGTAGGATTTGTAATTTTCCACAAGACGTCCTCCAGTCGAATGTCGTTTGTTTACTCACCAAACTAAAACACAACGACAAACACTGATTTTTCCTGCGCATTCCTCCTACTCGTGCCTTTCCGGCTGTTGCCTTTTTCCGCAGTGTCGCCGTGTGTACTCGTACATCGCGCCGGAATGAAATGAAACGATGCGCGAATTTCGTCGAAGACAATAAAACTCTTTGTCCGAAAGTGCTTGCTCTGTTTGCTGCACTCCCGATGGCTGTCTATAGCAATTTACTCGCTATAAAAATCTATCTGCGCCGAGCACCGAGCGAAAACAACCACGGCAAGCAAACGGAAATATCGGAGCGCCAAACGTAAAAAACGGAATTAATCCAAGTTTTGTACTTCCTTCCACGTCCTTCGTTCGGGGGGTCGCAAGAAGGCCGGAATGAAAATGAAATATACGTTTTTGTGTTCTTTTTACAGCTCGCACGAAAGCGTTTTGAAGGGTGGCGAGCGCGCAAAAGATTTAAACAAAGCTTTCATTGTTTTTTTAGAGCTATTTAGTGCTTTTTAGTGCCTAAGCTAAGAAAATACCAAGGAAATCTGTAGATGCCTAGTGCGAATCACAAACAGGGGATGAATTTCAAATTAAACCAGAGGCAGCAACTCATAATAACATTTTTAAGACCTCGTGTAAAAATATTACGTCACAAACAAGCAAAATTTCCAAAGAAAAAAAGTTGTTTTAATTTATTAAACATAAATACACTCTGTTTTAAGGTAATGATTTTGCAAGGGGTGGTTTGTTAAACTCGATGCTTTTCAAAATGGTGAAAATTGCGCGCATAACGTTCGAGGCACGCCGTGGCTGGCGGACGGGCGTGCAAATTGAAATTTCATTATTAAACTTTGTCCCAAAACAATTTTGTCGTCGTTCCTCTTGCGTTTCGAGCCTTCGCGCGCGCGCTCGCGTCGAGAGGAGAACGAAACAAGAACTGTTTACCGTCACGCCATCACCATCGCCGCGGCCTTTATTATAACTCACTAATAATGAAAATTAAAATCGGGTTTGTTTGTGATTACAGTCCATACATAACCTCCGGACCCAAACTCAGCAAAACCCGACGTAAACTTTGCAAAACGAAAAGATTTTCAATGAAACTGTGTCAAACAATATTTAATGAAAGCATATTTCATTAAGAATCAAGAATTAAAACGTTTTGGATGCATTTATTTTGTTTTTAATAAATTATGTTGCGATGATGTAATTTTCAAATATGTCTAAACTATTTAACACCAAATGTCGCTGTTGTTATAGGTTATTTTCGAAAATTTGCATGTTTTCACGCCGGATGATTCAGGCTGCGAGTAATTTGTTAACAAGGTTTTGTTCCGATGTGAATTATTTGTCGCTTTGTTGTTGCGCCGGCAGCAACGAGTTGGCGAGAGATTAATCGCTCGCAAATTTCGTTCAATTAGCACAATTAATAATTGCGTTTTGCGCCGTTACCCAACTAACCAATGAACTATTGATCCATTTAATTAAAATGTTTTTCAATAAAAACACACAATAATTTATTAATACAAAACATGTACTCACCAATTACGGTTAAATTAATTGCAAAGTTTCTAGTCGGGGAAGTCTTAAAGTCGACGCGACACCGATAGATGCCCTCATCGTCAAGCTGAACGCCATCTAGCGTCAAAGCAGCTGGCTTTGCCACCGTGACGAAATAAGCTCGTGGTCCAAACGCTTTTTCATCCGACCATTGTCGTGCTTTGTTGAATGCGCGGCCACGAACATCAAAACTGCAACAGACAAATAAATTTCAGGTTAATTTCGTTTAAATTAGGTTATGTTATGTGTGTAAACGAATGACGCAAGATGGTTTCGGTTGGCAAGAAATGCTGCTACGGCCATAAAGTGTTAGATAACATGTTTGCACGCGTTGTGTGCCGTTCCGACGGCGTGCATCGTGCGCACACACCAACCATCAGGTCTAATGACAGTTCACAGGACGAGGGAAAACACACACACACATAGAACTCGTTGGAGCAGACGAGAAGATGAAAGACAGACGTGTGTACACATTCAACGCGGCCATCCTCGCCGTCGTCATCGTTTCATATTGCCGACAACACCAGACCAAGCCCCACAACACCTAGATCCAGACCGAAAACTACTCCGTGGAGTTCCAGGACTACACAACAGCCGCGAAGGCAACTATAGGCAACTATAGTTACAACGTTGGTCACAACTACTCGCGCAGCAGCTGTGCAAGGTTGTTTCCTTTATCCTGTGTGTGCAGTATTCACCTTTGCGCACCTTCCTCGTAGTGTTGAGTGTTGATCGTAACCCGCGTGTAGGTTTACAACGTTTGCTCAGTTAGATGTTTTGTACATTTTGGCCATTTTGTACGCTACGCCATGTTTACCTCAGCAAGCATCGTATGGATTTATTACTCATAATTGCAGTCGGGTTTTGTTTTAAAAGAACACGAAACTAAAAACTAAAAGACTAAATGTACGTTAAACATACGCAATAAACATTAATAGCTATAGTTTGAGGTTAGGTTTAATGTGATTTGTCATATTTACTGAATATTAATCCGAAATTCATAATAATAGCGTGTAACTGCCAGTGTAATCTCGTCGGACACGATTCCTGAGGTCGCATTACGTTCATAACATGGCTGAACGCCACTTCAAAATGGCGGCGTGAATGGCTAATGCCATCGGCTGGCTTGGCGCGCGCTTGGAGCGTGCTTTTCGAAATTTAATGCACCCGCAACGATGCATTAATAACAATTTTCCTGTCATATCTAATCCCGGGCGCCGGCAGCGCGGAGACTCGGCGATATCATTACAAGCGCTATTAGCACACGATAATTGCATATTTTCCACTTTGGATTGCAATTTATTCGTTTTAATCTTGGCGCGCGGCGCTCGCGCGCGATTTGCACAATTCGCAGACACTTGCATGATAATGCGGCGAAGGCGAAGAATATTCCGCAGCGGAAGGACGCGCAGCGATTCGAAACGATTATCGCGAGAATTCAGAGCTCTTGAATTCTTTAACAACTCGTAAATAAGTTACTTAGTTTACGACTTTGCATGATAACATCTTGAAATTGACCATTTCGCATTCAAAACCGGAAGTAGCTACAAAACATAACCTATAAAACTGTACATAAATAAAATTGTGGATTTAAGATGTAAATCACATTGAATTAAAACTAAATCGATGGCAACTCTTAAATTTCCCACCATTTTCGGTTTAAATACTCCCACGACACACCTGTGCGCAGCGCCAGCGGCCATTTTGTATGCGCGTGATCCTCATAAGCTCGCCGCGCAAATATCTCACATATTACACAAATTAATAAACATAAACGCGCAGGTATTCAGAGGTGGATATCCGCACGCCCATTCAAAATGTACTCGTACACGTTTTGAATGTTTGAATACTTCCACATGTGCTCGGGATGTACAAATGGCATTTCTCGCGGCTGGTCCTGCTTCGGGATACGCGACAAAGTACATTAATATACATAATTAGCCTTCTGCGTAACTGGGATTACAACGGCGGTTGTACCAGCCTAAGCCGGCCCCGACTCACCCGTCTGCTGAATTATTATCGTTCGGAATTCCACCCCCGCATCCGCTGGACCAAGCGTGGCATTACCAACTTTGTCGTACAATACTATATCATATTTACAACTGCTGCAAACTTGAAAACTATTTCGGACTTAAATTCTAATAAAATCATCCCCTATCCCTATTGTACATATTTTTATTTTTACTCAAAATGTATTTGAATCCACGCTGTGGGCTGCGTTTGACGTCGACGGATACTAATTAAACTCGAATTAATTTGTTAATTACGTACAAATTTATATTTAATAACTTCGTGTGCGCTGCTGTGCATAGGGGTGAATTTATACGAAATGGGGCGGAAAGTTTCCGGCTGTTTTGCCATGTTATGTTGATTTAATCAAATCTATTTAGTTAGGACAAGTTAATTTTCGATAAAAGATTTGCACCCCTCATTGCCGCCTCCCGGGGCTGTGCAGCCGCAGTGCTAACTACGACTTACTTTCATCCCACACACGCTACTACCAAGTTTTACCGCAATATTCTGTTACATATGTTACTAGTCAAGGGCGGAACAGCGGAAAATTCCTAGGGTCTTAATTGGATTTTGGGCGTTTCATTCGAAACAATAATAGAATATAGTAGATATTAATAAATCATGGGTTTATTAATTTTCGTGAATATTTTACTAAGCCCAATACCGGAAAATAACTTGTCTATATATAAAACAAGGTTGGGTTAGTTAAACCATTTATAACTCAAGAACTAGTGGACAGATTTTAATGATCCATGATTTTTTGGATTTGTCTTGACCTCGAATAGCAGAATAAGTATTAAAATAACAAAATGGAATATTTAGAGAATATTTTACAATAGATATATGTTTAAAACAACAAAAAATAATTTAATGAAGAATGTTTTCGTAAATTAAACTTGAGATCAAGTATTTAAAACTGGAAAACTTGAGAAAACCACGCAAAGTTGGAGAAAATGTAAAAATATCCGAATTTCAGGCCTAAATTTTAACCCACTCAACTTTTGACGCTTTTGTCGACAGAATGTAATTAAGGAACGAATTATGACAAAACATTTTGCGAATAAGTAAGCTCAAAATTTTCCTAACCTATTTCTACATCAAACACGAAATAATCTATCTAAATATATAAAAATGAATTGCTGTTCGTTAGTCTCGCTAAAACTCGAGAACCGCTGAACGGATTTATCTTATCTTGGTCTTGAATTATTCGTGGAGGTCTAGGGAAAGTTTAAAAGGTGAGAAAAATTCGAATAATTGCCGGGAAAATCCTCAAAACAGCTCTTTTCTATAGAATAACATTTGACATTGAGATTCAATCATAGTTATAGTTAAATAGTTGAATTCGAGATGGCGCGCTGAAGTGCATTATTGACAAAACTTTATATGCATAATTTCTTTAAATTAAAATTGCTAATCTTATTGATAGAATTGACTCTTACTACGAGTATGTCTAGAACAAGAGAGTAAAAACGAATTACATTTTTATTAAACAATGCCGGAACGAAGTTGCGGGCAACAGCTAGTTTGAAATAAAAATAAAAATAAACAAACATTTTTCTCATTTTAGTAATTTTAAAGGTTATGTTTGCAATTTACGACCCAAAGATAACCTCTTTCCGTATTTTCGTTATATTTTGCACTTTTGGATCGCAATAAGCACGTTCTAAATCTAAAACGAAATTTTACGACGCTCTGTGGCATGCCGGCCATCACATCACATCTCACACTTCCGCCGGGCACACCAAAGATGTTTTCTATATTTTGGCGCGAGCGTGTGGCGTAAGTCAAAGACGTGTTAAAATCGTTAAAAGCCGCCGAGTGGCGGGCGTGCTGAACCGAGAAACCGAACGAAACACACAGGACGAAAACTCCGCCGGCACACGCGAAGAAAATGCCGGACAACTCAGCGCGCAAAGATGCTCAAGGACGAACCCGAGCCAGCTACGTGGTCGGTGGACAAGACACGTGGAACGTGAGTTTTCTTCTGGTTTCTCCTTTTTCATTCCTTTGATACAAGTGGAAACACAAAGGAACGCATTAAACTTTCATACAAACAAGTTCATAAAATCTTCTTTCACCACACGCAGAAATAAATTATAATATAAATAACCTTAAAATTTTACAAAATAAATTTTAAGGTTAATTCTATATAGCTATGTCAATGTTTGTAAATTTGGTTGCCTATGTTAAAGTTGAAGTTCTTATAATAGAAATGGTAACATGTAGTATGTTGGGAAAACAAACAGCCTAGAAAAATGTGAAACACCAATATTTTCTAATACGCGTTTGTTCCTTCCACATCCTTCCAACGCCTCTCAGGACACAAAGACCACCGCCGAGGCCAACACGTGCGAACAAGTGAGAAAATAAAATATTACATTCTTTGTCAAAGTCAACACATTCCTCTTTCATTTTTTCACAGCAAACGCGCGCGCGCGCCTTCGAGTCCGCCGTCTGACGTCCTTCAGCGTCTTCGGCTCGAGGGTTTTGCTTCGAAAAATGATGAAACGCGATCGCCGAAAGTGCGCCGCGCCCGCCGCCGGCGTTAAATTGAACACGCGAACATGTGTTACAAGTGCACTTTATACTCTTGCGCTCTTTACACACGCGCTCCGCCCGGAGTCCAAAGTCATATAATACCGGCGACGCGGCAATAACTTCATGTTTACACACGTTCCGCACGTTCATAACCTCGTAATGCATCGGAAAGTTGTGCGCGCCGCGGAAGCGGTTGTAATTTAACGAAAATATAGTGGCCTGTGTTATTTTTAGGAGATTAACTTCGATTTTAATGGATTTCGACAGGTTGCACAACAGGAATTACTATCCACATGGCGGAAAATAACTCGTAAACTTATTTCCACGCATCTATACACATAAAAACAAAGTTGGGTTAGTTACAACGTTTATAACTCAAGAACCGCTGGACAGATTTTGATGAACTATGATTTTTTGAATTCATCTTGGCCCCGAATAGTAGAATAGTTATTAAAATAGTATAAATTATAATATACAGGGTGTTAAATAAGAGTTGAAAGTTGGTATTGAGATTAAATCTTATTTTTAGTTAAATAATTTGATCACAGATGGCGCAAAATGCATTTTTAGCAATTCTAATGTCCCTAAAATAAACTAAATAACTTCTAGGTTAAGTTTGTTTAGTGTTTTGGCATGTAAT